CACCCAGAGGATTTAGGGTTCCCCCTTGTCATCCATCTTACCTACACCCATAGACTCCCACGGCTACTCTTTCAACTTACATGGGACCCAGACTGAGCATCCACTTCTCTGAGGAGGGTAGCGGTGATTAACCTGCATATTTGTCCCCCAACATGTGGAAATGAGAAGTCCAGCAGATCCTCTCTATGGTTATCACTGAGAGGTAGGTAGCGAGGACCTGCGAGAAGATAAGTAACACGTGAAACGCAGGTGTTATACAGCAGTGTACTTCAGTAGATCTGCCTGTTCTGCTCCCCACTCTGTCTCTGGTGAATCCTCTCACCCACCATAACTCTGGCCTGTACCCCAGTTCTGAAAGCATAAATAAAAAAAATCTTTAAAAAAGAAAAAGAAACACAGGTGTTATCAACAAGCCACTCTAGAGACAGAAGAATGGTGAGAGCAGTTTTCTGTCAAGTCCTTGTCCTAAGACTATCCACGTGAGTCTATGCAGGCATCTCTTTTAATAAACCTTTCCCTTCAAAAACAGCAGCATCGCTGCTGTGTATAAGCAGGTGCCTCTTTTTTTCCTTTCTCCTTTTCCTAGTAGAATGCAAACAAGAGAGAGAAAAGCCAAGAAAGAAAACAAATTTCTTTGTGCTTGAAAAATGGCTTCACAATCATTAACTTGTTTCACCTCCACATCGATTCTGAGTTGGACAAAGCAGGGAATCTTTGACTCATTCTTCCCATTTTATAGGTAGGGGAAAAGAGATCTAATTTGCCACTGAGAGAGAGGAGCAGAGATTAGTGGCAAACCCACAGTTTCTGGTACCTTCTGAGACTGTCAAGTAGTACCTGCTCCCCAATGCCCAGAACCTCTTTGGTTTCTCAGCATCCTTTCTCCAGTCAGGTTCTCCAATGCATTATTTATTCTGTGAGCCACTCAACATGACCCCAACACATCACTTTACTTCTTAAGTTAGCCAAGTTGTCTTCTGCACTTACAAACAAAGAGCTTTAACTGATGTGGATGTCAAGGTAAATGAGCAGATGAGTGAGTGGATGGGTGAGGAGCAGGAGTGAGGGATCTCTTAGAGGAGCAAAAGGATAGAGCAGTAAGAATGGATGAAGAACACATTGCCCATCGGAGGAGCTAAGTGGCAAGGTAAGTCCCAGGTCTGGGAAGGAGGCGTGGGATAGAAGGGGTGACGACCCTCAGCCTTCCCTGGAGGTAGAGAGACATGAACAACTAGAGGAACAACAGGACACCTACTCCTAAGACTTCCTCAATGCGCCAGAAATTCTTTCATTTTGTAGCTTTAACTGAGAAAAACCTCAGAGATAATATTGTCAAACCTTCGTTTTCTAGATGAGACAAGTGGTTTGCCAATATTTCACAACTTGGTTTGAAGCTGGGACTAGACCTCAAATGTCCTACTTCCCAGTCCCTGCTCTTTTCACCTCCTAAACTACCCCTATAAGGAGTGACTAAGGCACACAGAAATTCCTAATCCCATCTGGAAGAAATTTCTTGCCCAAGGGGACTTCCTCACCTAGGCCAGAAGTTCTCAAAAATGAAAATGCAAATGGCTGGGGAGTTATATGGGGTCAAATGTCCACATTGTAGACTGCAGGTCTCAGAGCTGGGGAGGTGGCATAAAGGAGAAGCAAGACATGGGGAAGCCCCATTCCTGAACTGAATGCATGCAATGGACAAGAAACCAAGGGATTTCCCAGGACCAGCTCACAAAGTAGCTTATCCATCCACAGTCTCAGTTGTCCTGTGAGGTTCATCAATTAAGTCACTTCCTTTATTAGGATATATATGAAACCCTTTGAAAGGGTCTGTGAGCTGGCCTGCAGGGACATCCAGGAAAAAAGGGACTGTGCTTCACCCAACAACCAAGGGAGGGTCTGTGAAGTCACAGCAGAGGACAAGATTGCTTAGGGCAGGAACTGAGTCATCACTATTTTCTGTTTTCTTCCTAATAGGGAAATAAAGTGTCTAACATGATGTCGAGCAGCCAATGGAGAATCACTGTGCAATGCCCCTCACCCATCCCTATGTTTCCTAATGGACACCTTAGTGGATAGGTCACCTCTATGGAGGAACGGTGCAGAGGGGAGAAATGCAGGAGCTGGTCACTTGGGAGAGGAAGGGGAGGAAGTGTCTTCTTGAGGTTCTGCTTGTGCCAGGAACAGTACCGGGCAGTTTGCTAAGGGTCTAATTTAATCCTATGTGCTACATTTTTTTTGCCCCATTTCCAGAAAGGAAACCAAGGTGCAGAATAGGTGCAAGAAAAGAACTTGTGCAAGGACATACAAAGAATAGGCAGCCTGCTGATTTCAACCCCAAGTTTGTCACTCCCCATCAGGCTTTCCCCAGGAGCCCTGAGACAGAGGAAAACAGTCTGCATGAAGAAAGGGGAGGCATCTGACCAACACCAGAGGAAAGCAATAAGAACTGTGTCCCCTAAGTGTCAGGAGGAGTAGGACTAAAATTAGCGGTCCCAGAGGGCCTCGCCTCCAATGCGGCCCTGTCCTGCCACATCCCTTGTGGCAGTCTCAAGGTGGGTGAACACATCAACAAACACACCACAGACAGTCTCTAGCTACAGAAAACAAGCTGGTGTACAGTCGCAGACCCCTGTGGTAAAGGTGAGAAGCATGGGGAGAGGCCAAGCTCTATGCGGTTGGAACTATGAGAAGAGTGGTCACAGTACCCCCACAGTGAAATACATGAGGTTCAGGAAGAGAGGGGAGGTGCAGCAGTGAGCAACACAGGAAGAGCAAACCAGAGCTGGACCAGAAGACAAGAGCAGGATGTGGCCGAAAGAGCCCTGGATAAAGGTTTGAGTCCTACCTCCACCCAGCCAAGTCCCCTGAGCCTACTGGAAGGGCTCCGCTTGCACCCCGACACCCTTGCTGCCCACAGGTGCTTCCACAGCACAGATGATACATCCTCCTCAAACAGAGCCCCTAGAAATAAGAGCCAGCAGATCACTGCTTTAAGGGAGATCATCACATGTGTGGACAAGGACAGAGGAAAGGGACACACCAGGGACCAACTCCCTGGTTTGCAGATGTGAGAAATTGAGACTTGTTGGAGAGAGGAACCGACTCGCCCTCAGGCTTCTTTTCTTGGGGCCCAGACTGGAGTTTTTAGAGGTTGAGGGACTTTCCCTGCTTCGGACACTGTTTTTAAAGAAAACAGAGTGGCAACCCCATACCCATCAGGGAAATTCCAGGTCCGAGTAGAGCTTTGGAACCCAGATGGGATGCAGTTTCGTTTTGCCTGTCTTTGGTTTCCTACTGTCACAGAGTGACTCTGGGCAGTCAGCCAGCTTAGCTTGGAAAAGGATGAATAAAAGAGGAAATAAAAAGCGATATCTGTGCCGACCAACGTTTGTGCTGGGCTGGAGGGAGTGGATGTCTGGCTTGATGGAGGAACTTGTTCACCAGAGACAGCTGAGAAACAGCCCTATGAACTCAAGAGACCCAGAAATGAGCCTGCCAGGTCTCTGGGGCCCTCATAGGCAAAATTATAAGTGCGTGTCTCTGTAGGCCTGCATGTTTATAAAAAGTGTTCACAGCTTCCCCAGATGCTTTAAAGGCTCCATCACCCAAAGCAGGTTGGAACCAATACTTGCTTTACAGATTAAAGAAATAGACACAGAGAAAGCAAACACCTTGCCCAGGTCAGCATCACTAAGTAATACACTGAGTTTTGAACCCAGGGTCTAACTCTAGGGAGCCCAGGTACTTAAGAATCCTCAAGACACTAATAAGACTGAAAAAAATTGAAAGGAATTAAGACTAAGCCAGTATTAATTTAGCATCTATCATGCCCATTGGAAAGCAGACAGAGAAAACAACAAGTGAATAGAAAAGGCAGAGAAGAGCACTATTGCATGGAGGGAGTTCGACCAGAACGTGAAAAGACAAGTCCTGACTTGATTATTGCCTGCAGGTCCCGCCCTGCACACGCCCTGCACATGCCCTGCACATGCCCTGAGCGCCTGCTGGCAGGTGTCCACAGTGCCTAGGCTGCTGCCTAGCTCCCAGACACTCTCTGACACAACTGTGGCTTAAAGAGAGGGGCGCAGCACAGAGGGAGCACACTGGCCGGACAGGGAGGGCAGTTTCTGCCCTTGATCCTCTCAGCCAGCTGTGTGGTGCATCACATGGGCAGATGTTCTGGAACATAAAATGCTGGGGGAGACATCATGACATCATGATAGTTGCCACTCGTGAACACCCCCTCTACCAGGTACCACGCTGTTCACAACGGTGCTGCGATTTCCCTGGGATCAGTATGTTAGAGCCAGAGGATGTACTGATTCCATGAGTCTGAATCCTGATTTTGCACAAGAGAAAGTGAGAGCAGAAATGGAATCATAACAAGGTTCTCCACACAATCCACTGAAACCACCAAAAGGGAAGAAAGCTACTCCCGAAGTAAGCAGAAAGCTTACTTCTGCTCAGCAGCCTCCATCCCACCCCTCGCCATTTCCCACAAAGCAGGGGTTCACCAGGCTTGGAAAATGAGGCTATCTTGGGTCCATCTGTGGGTCCCCTCACCTCTGTCCTCAGCTAGTGTCCTAACTCAGCATATTTGGCATCCAGGAAAATAGGGCCCTTTCTTCCTTAAAGTAGGAAGCTGAGATCAAGAAAAGGAAACAGAAATAAAGTTCACATGAAAAACAGTCTTGGCTAAGTGTCAGGATTCAGGATTTCTAGAAACAACACAGTGTGGTGGAAAGCCCTAGATATACTTGGCTTCAATGTTGAGCTCCACCACTTTAGGCTATGTAATCTTTTTTTTAAGATTTATTTATTTATGCATACAGAACTGGGGTACAGGCCAGAAAGTGTGGGGGCTATTTCACTTATGATATCAGCCACATAACATGTGGCTCTGTTTGGGAAACTCCCCTTAGGGAGTGCCCCCTCTACTGGCCTGCCTCCCTACTTAAAGGGCCAGCTGAGCTGCAGAAGCGCCTGCAACAGCACACAGATCTCCCACAGGTACCATGAAGGTCTTCGCAGCTGTCTTCACCGTCCTCCTGGCTACTGCTTCCTCCCGCAACCCTGCATCTGCCTCCCCATGTAAGTACAAGTCCTGACCATCCAGCCCCCCAAGTCAGTCCTGCAGGCTGGCCCACACCCAGCCTGAACCCTACGATTTACATACTACTGTATTGCTTTACCCAGATGTGCAGTTTAAGGGTCCCTGATAGATCCTTAGACCACTTCATGGCAAGGACCCTCTAATCAACTTTTCTGTCTTCAGGGTCTATACCCCAAGTCCTGCAGGTACTCTCCGAGTGTGGATTGACACTGGGGATATTAGTAGGCAGGACAGCTTGAACCAACCTCAAAATATGACTGACTGATGCCTATTGTCAGTAGGGTTGCTAAGCACTTGACTAAACCCTCCTGGGATAGTGCTATTCTCACCCATTTCATAGACGGGGGGAAAAAATGGACTTGAGAGAAGATAATGATAAAAGCTAGTGCAGTGCCTGGTATTGGTCAAGTACTGTGCTGATTGCTTTGCATTTATCATCTTAAATACTCTTAACTATTTAAGTATTTAGAAATGGGAAACAGAAGCCCAGAGAGGTTAAGAAGTTGCACGGTGTCAGACTGCTAGGAACCAAGGATGAAACTGGTGTTCATACTCAGTTCTGTCTAGATCCTGAAACTACTCAGCTGAGCAACTGATGCTTGCCAGTGTCATCCTGAATTAACTGATGAGCAAAAAGTCCTCTGTTCATAGCTCTTCTCACTGGCTCAGCTAGAATGTGCACCTTCAGGAACCCTCTCTTAAGGTCCTAGCTCAGCCATGAGTTCTGAGATTTGGAAACCTCTCCCCAACCCACCCCAGGACTCAAAGAAACCAAATTCTGAATCACTAAACAGCCTAAGAGGACAAGAATAAGGGCAGATGACCCAGACAAGCCAGGAGGAAACCCAGCATATTCTAAAAGCCAATGGCGTAGAGTTATGGTATAGAGGACATCAATGCCAGCTGGGTTTGAGGATTAGATAAGGGGTTAGGGAGATCCTCTGACACTCTGCCACTGTGTTTTCACTGCCAGTGACTACCTCTCTGAGCTTCAGTTTCAGTCAATGGAGGATAATCTATTCAGAATAGATCATATTGAATACCCAGCACAAGGCGCTGGCAATGAATACAGAGGTCCCTTTCTTTTTCCTCCTAGATGCCTCGGACACCACACCCTGCTGTTTTGCCTCCACCAAGCGCATAGTGCCCCGTACTCATGTCCAAGAATATTTCTACACCAGCAGCAAGTGCCCCATGCCAGCGGTCGTGTGAGTCTTAGCCCTGTGGAGCCCTGGGGCGGAGGGTGGGTTAAGGACACCTTTTGTTCCAGAGTCAGTCCTGCTAGGAACCTTCTGAGAGGGTATCCTCTCTACTCCTAGCCACCCTCCAACTGCTTGGATAGCCATGGCTCCTTCCTCCCTAGCTTCAGATGTCCCAGATATCATGAAAGTGATTATAAGTTCTTGGAGGACCCTCTCCACTCTGACAGGCTAGGTTAGGTCTTGATTGATACAGATTGTGATTGTTACTTGAATGTGTACGTGATGCGCCTGCACAAAGAAGACAAGCTTAGTTATCTCTTCCTAGTCATGAACCCCAAGTCCCCCATACTCCACCCTGAAACAAATCTACAACCTCAGAGGAACTAGGGAGGAAAGGTCAGATGCCTTACCTCTAAATTTCACTGAACACCCCTGACAGGTATACATAATTTCTCCCATGTTTCAGGTAGTGAAACTGACACCTAGAGGGGTTTGGGGACTTGTCCAAGATTGCACCATAAGGGGGGGAGGGGGAAGCCTGTGCCTGAGTGTTTGTTGCTTCAGCAACTTAAGATCCTAGAGACCTAGAGGATGACAACGGGGCAGTCATAAAGTTTCATATACAATGGCAAAGTTTTCTAATCCAAAGTTTCCTGCAAAGTTAGAGATGTAGAGTTGACCTTTCACTCTAATGAATCCTTCGAATTGTAGTGGCAATAGGCAGCACTACTAATTTCTGAACATGAGTATTTTTCAAAAGAAAAAGATCCTTCTTTGAGCATCTATATTATGGATCAGGCAAAGATTAATAATCTACCAGCCCTGCCCTTGGGGAGCTCACAGTCTAATGACAGATAAGACAGATAATCTTCTGTGAAGATTAAAATGTCCTCATAAGAAAGTTACAAGAGGGAACACACCCACCCAGCTTCAGGGGTAGGCAAAGGGATTTCGGGGAGGTGTTCTCTGCAAGGTTCCTTGGAGGGGGGAGGGGCCTAGTAGAGGAAAGCAAAGGGGCTGGGTGTGTCGGACAGAGGGATGTGGCCAGAACCAATGAGGACCATGATTGTCAGCATAGTGGAGCAGAATACTACAGCTGTCCAGTGTGAAATGGGCAGGAGCAGAAAAAACCTTGAAGACAGGAGTCCTGTTAAGAGGTTGTTATCAGGTGCATGGTACTGAAGGCTGAACAGATCTTGAAGGGCCAGGAAGGAGAGGCAGGGTGAGAAAACTTCAGAGGTGGACTTGACAATCCTTGGCAAATGATTTGAGGTCAGGAGCAAGAAAGAGAGAGAGGTGAAGGGTGATGATTGCAGGTTTGGCTGGGGGAGTATGCAGCCTCCTGATGCCTCTGCGAAGAACGGGTTAGAGACGCCAAGATGCCAGCAGGTGAATGCTGGAAATGTCCAACAGGCAGTGCGAGAAGAAGGGTTAGTAGGTGAGGAAAGGGTTTTGGGGCTGGGAATATGATATTCTTTTACAAAAGGGGAAGGTCTCCCAATACAAGTGTAGCATTTTCCATGGTCTCCAGAGCTGGTCGGCCTTCAATAGAATGCCAGCTCTACCAACTCATAGTTGCTAGAATGCAGGCCTCACCACTTAACCACTGAGTTTCAGAGTAAAAGAGAAGTGGAGTAAAAGAGAAGTCCTTTCCTTACTGGGTCAAAGTGAGAATAACATGAGAGATACAATTAGAAATTTCCTGGCACACAGTAATTACTTAGTAAGAGTTAGCTTACTATCCCCCTCCTCCTCTAAGTGTATTATTACATACACAGAAGTGACAACTAAAACTTGATGAGTAAATGAAATCCATTCATTCACCATTCATTCATTTGTTCAATACATACCCATTAAGCACACACTGTGTGCCGGGCCCAGGGTCAGAAACATGGGAAGGAACACTGAGGAAAAAGCTCAATGCTCTCAAGAGACAGGTGAAAGTGGAGGGCCCCAACAAAACTGAGCAGAAAAAGAGGCAGGAGAGGAGTCAGGAAAGCAGACAGTCCCCCAAACGAGGGCAGAGGCAGAGAAAGGTTTGGCCAGCTGGGGCTGTTCTGCAGTAGCACAGTCTGCAGGGAGGAAGAGGCCTGAGCACCCTCACTCCAGATGTTGGTTTCTGGGCTTTCTGACTTCCTGGTCACAGGTCAAAGAGAGACTACAGGGTTTGGTAGAATTTCCTGTTTGGCTCCTGGCTGTACAGTTGAATTTGGGTCTGAAGACCCCTCATAATAAAGCAAACACTACGAGGCACTCTCCCCGATACCCTGCTCCCCTTCTCTTCTCTGCACACATGCATTGGAGAGCGAGAGACAGTCGAGTGACTCTGAAAGTGGGAAGCAGCTTGCCTGAGAGCAAGCCTTACCCATGAAAAAGCCTAAAAAGCAACTACAACACCCTCATTCTCATCAGACAACTTACACTTCACTTTGTCTGAAAACATTTGGGCTCAGAAAGGTACAGGGAAATGTGCTGGAGTGGAAATCAAGATACGGAAGGTCCAAGTAGACAAAGTTTGCCCAGAAGCAATGTGCTCACAGGCAGCTCTATTCTCCAGGCCAAAGTCTCTCCCACATGGAACCAGGCTCCCGGCAAACAGGTGAGACACTCAGCTGGTTTGAGCCTGTGACACCCCCTCGCCCCCGGCCCCGGCCCTTTGGACCTCCAACTTAGACCATCAATACCTAAAGTGCTAAGGCCTCCCACTCTCACAGTCCCCCCCCCCCCCCGATTCCAGCACTGCCACTGCCAGCATCTGAGTCCTCAGCCTCTCTGAAGCACAGCGGCCAGTACCAAGATCTTTGGTTTCATGGTGCCCTGATCCACCCTAAAGAAAAGGCCCTGAGCACTCCAATAATAACAATACATATATCATACTTTTCAAAAGACCTTCACACATTATCTCATTTGAGCTTCACAACAGTTGTGCCAAGAAAAAATTATTTCTATTCACATTTTAGAAGTAAGCAAACAGACTCAGAGGTACTACGTGATTTGCCCAAGGTGACCCAACCAGTGGGTGGTTAGATCAAGACTCGAGTCCAAAAAAAATTAAAAAAAAAAAAAAAGACTCGAGTCCTTTCAGTCACTCGCACATGCATAGATGTATTCATGTCCACCCTGGACCGGGCCCTGTGTTATATAAAGTCAAGTCACATTTGCTTGTCCTACCACTTCTTGTCTCGTTTTTCCCAGACATGACTCAGTCCTCCAGAACTATGTCCTGAGCCCCCAGCATAGGATCTAAAACAGTGCAGAGAAAAGCTAGTGGTAGACCAGCTCTACCCTGGGTTCCTCCGGGCTCGTCACTCCTTCACTCTCCAGCCTGTTTGTACGCACACAGATCTGCTTCCAGCTTAGAATCCATTGACCCAACAAAAGAGTAAATATCCTTTCATGAAAGCCACAAACCATAATCTTCTGGAGCTCCAAAAATGGCCCAGCCAGTACACCATCACTTCCCTTTAGACCTTAGTCCAGCACGTCCAAAACTGTGTGTGCCAGCACTGAACAGCTCTCACCCTCTTCTTCTCTTCTCCCACAGCTTTGTCACCCGAAAGAAGCGCCAGATATGTGCCAACCCAGAGACAACGTGGGTGCAGGACTACATCAACTCTTTCGAGATGAGCTAGAGAGAGGACATCTTGAACCTGAAATTGTCCAAGCTTTCCTATTGCTTCTTCCTCTTGTCCTAATGGGTTTGGGGGGCATCTCCCAACTCCCACCCCCTCCTTAGAGGTTACAGATTCCACCACACAGCAACAGCCATAAAAGCTCCCCTACCTAAGACTTCCAAGAGCTCCTGTGGCTCTGCCTAGCACATAGAGTCTCCAGGTTCTGAGCTTTAGCCCCTTGCTTGACCGTGACCCTGAGTCAGGATGGAAGTCAGCATGCCTGTAGAAGTAAAGAAGGGAAGGAGCCTGGGCTCCTATAGCAAAGTCCATGGCCAAAACTCACTGGGAAGGATGACTGGCAGTGTGAGAAATCAGCTTTCCATTAAAATTCTCCATGCAATCACAAAGCTGCCTCCTCATTTGATTTCCTCAAGCACCCTCCTCCCTCATGAACACAGGGGTTAATTTAAGCACAATGGGCTCCAGGGCTTGGACATATCTGGCATCCACCCTAGATTTGTGGGTCCTGGCTCTGCCTAGTGAACAGGGCTAGGAAGACAAATTCTCTCAGAAGTATGGGCAGGACAGAGCAGGTAAAGCAACTGGAAACTTAACCACTCTGGGGAAACAGCAGTCACTTCGGCCCCACCCCAAAGTCCCTAGAAGTTTATTTTACTCCCAGCCTCCCTGATTCCTTAGATCTTGGTTGACCTTTCCACCCACTCTGCTCCCCTTCAGCCCTGGCCTACCCTACACCTTATCCCCAGGGAGTTTCTTTAACACTTGGGCAGGGATTTAAGGACAATCCCAAAAGCCTCAGTTCTTTCAAATAAAGAGAATGAAGTATTTATTTCATTCTCTGTGACTGCACCAGCACCTTTAGGGTGGGCTTATTCCAACTCTCCCATCTATACCCCCCAAGGACTCAGTATATATCTCCTAATAACAAGAACTCCATAGAACCACAAAAGGAGAGGCATACTGAGGAAACTTAATTAACTTAATTATTTTCTAACATGGAGTCCACAGTCAAATCCCTACAACTGTTGCAATCGTGTCCTTTTTAGCTTTTTCTTTAACCAAGGTCCCGAAGTACAGTACATACTGAATTTAAAGATTCGTATGTTTTGCTTTATTGGTGTCCTTTAACAGATTTTTTTTTCTTTAACTACACCGATGTCTTTTAAGAGCTCAGTGCAGACTTTTTTGTGGAAGCTGTCCTAATTTGATTTGCCTGACTGTCTCCTCATAATAGAGTCAAAGTTGGTTGGGCAGGAAGAGTACATGGCTGACATGACTTCCCTGGTGTAGGGTATCACCAAGCGCTGGTGTTCGTTCACAGGGGAGTTAAGTTTGATGACTAAGTGGCCATGTTTTCTTGTGACAGTGAGCAGCAGCTCTGTGCTGGGCACTATGTGAGGAATGGGGTGGGTCTCTGGGTGGGGGGCAAGAGGCAAAAGAGAGAGATGAATGAGCTACAAGCCACAATCTTTCCCTTTAGGCAGCTCAGATTGCAGTGAGTAAAGGAATGGACCTAAGAACAGAGTAAACATATAGGCACCAGAGGCAAGAGACTATAAAAAGCCCTGGTCAAATTGGGGGAGGGGAGAATATGCCACAGGCTGGGGAGAGGCAGGGAGCATGGGGGCGAAAGGAGACTCCAGAGATGAAATAATATTTAAATGGTACTTGAAAGATTTGAGAAGCTGCTTAACAGGTAAAAGCAAAGAAAAGCCTTGACAGGTAAAGGGAATAACATGCAAAAGGTGGAAGTCTGAACGACAGTTCCTTACCACACAGTTGGAAGAGTTCAGTTTCTTGCCACAAGGTGAGAGGCCTTCCCATCCCCACCATTTTCCTGATGACAAACCCTAAGAACAACCCCTTCTGGAACATTACCAAATTCTTTGACTTTAATTTATGCCTGACACAGCCTCCCCTCTGACAAATGCTTCCATTTGCCACATGAGGAGACTGAAGCTCACAGAGGTAAAGTGACTAACTCAAGATCACAGTTTAGTAGATGCTGGGGCTGGGACACAAGAATGTAACTGGAGTATTCTATTTACCTAGGAGACCTGGTTGCTCAGGGCTTGGAAGCTTCTACCTATAGAAGCTCAGACCACTCACTGGTCACTCTTATCTACAGACAGGTCAACTGAGCTGTTCTTCCACTCCAACAGCCCTATATTCTCCCCAACCCAGATATCCTACAGTCTTTGCAGAAGAAGGAGGAGGATGGCCTGTGATAACCTAGCCAATGTCCTTGACATCTACAAGTCAATGGTCAACTACCCATGGCTGAAATATCCAAAAAGAAGCCAAGGTGAGGCTGGAATGGATAGGAAAGGAGTCAGAGGCAACTACCATTGCTAAGGAAAACTACAGGGTTCCCACTCTAGAGGAGGGGTCTGGGTGAGTTTAGCAAAACCATGAGCAGGGTCTAGGCAGGCCCTTGGACACTGCAGTGGCTCTCCATGGCCTTCAAGGCAAGTCTCCAGCACCCTCTAAAGTGGGATATAGGTACATTTCCCTGCTGCTGCTCCCTCACCTGCACCTGGTTCTTTACCCCAACTAGCACACCCCCACTCTGCATAAGTTGTTCCCTGTGCCCAGTGTTCCTCCCCCTTACTATCCAGCTAACTCCTCCTTGGAGTGAAGATGGTTTATATAGCATCTCCTCTGGGAAGACGTCCCTGATCCACCCAGCCAGCTAGGTGTCCCTTACCTGTATCGCCTATGCCTCTACCTTCACATTTATTTCCCTTTGCTAATCACTAATAAGTAGTTCTGTGTTTCTTAAAGTGTGCTGCCAGGACCAGCAGCATCACTGATTTATCAGAAATGACAGTTTTCAGACCCCTCCCCAGATTTCCTGAATCAATTCTCTGGGTATCTGTCCAGAAATGTGTTTTACCAAGCTCTCCAGGTGATTCCAGTGCCCACCCAAATTTCAGAAACACTGAATGAGACCAATGGCTTTTTTTTTTATTATTAGTTACACATTAGAATCCCCCTAGGAGCTTTCTAAAAGATCTTGGCCTGGTTCTCAGAGAATTGGACTCTATTCTGTGTCTTAGTCTTCCCCCCAGATAAGTAGTTCTAAAATGCAGTGAAGGCTGAGAACTCTGTTGGGCCAGTGTTTCTCAAATCTTATTAAATGAAGGCCCTGGTGGTTCCAGGGTAGAGCCTGAGAACTGCATTTCTGAGAAGCTTTGAGGCTATGGCAATGTTGCTATTCCACAGACATTTGAACAGCAAGTTACCAGAAACAGTTAGCCTTTAAGGACAGGAATTGTTTTATTTACTTCCCTGGTGCCTGGTACTAGTGTTTACTAAATGCTGAGTACATGAATACCTGAATGGATGACTCTTCATCTCACCTTTGCAACTGCTGTCTCATTTATACCACAGAGTTCAAAAAAGTCATGACTTATGTTCAACTGCCCCAGTCCTACAAGGTAAGCTCAATAACTTTTGCCACCCTGGGAGCTTTGCTGAAATAGGCATTTTCCTAGCCCACTAAGATCAGCTCACAAAACCCTGACACTAAACACTGGTGCTGCCACTAGTTCCGTGACCTTGGACAAGTGACTTTCCCCTCGCCAAGCCTTGGGAGCTTTCTGGGTCATAGGCCAACTCCTGCCCAACTCTCCTTGTAAAGTTATCCTAAGATGTTATCTGGGCTATGCAGGTAGTGCTTAAGATTTTTTATTAGTTAACACAGGCAGGGATCCTCAGAGTTGTCAGATAAATACAGATGCCCAATTAAATTTGAATTTCAGGTAAACAATGAATAATGTGTTTTTGTATAAATATCTAAAAAATTACATTCATTACCTGAAATCCAAATATACTGGATGTCCTATTTTTCATTTGTGTTTCTTAATAATTCTGACCACCCCATTATTGTGAGTCGATGATCTGATCTCTGAAATCATGACAGTCACCTGACAACTCTTACAATGATCTTCTCAGTTACAAATTGGCACTATCTGAAGCCCTCCTTTCTTGTTGCCCAGAGAGATCTCTTGTAAAGACAGAAAGACTTGAGAAGAGAAAGCAATGAATCCTAGCCATAACCTCAGAGAAGGCAGCTGACCCACCCAAAACTCTCCACTACAATCAGAGTTACAGTTTCACAGTTTTTTAAGAGAGCAATCACTTGAACAGTCTGTCTTTCCAACTAAATTGTTAAGTTCTATTAGGTCAGAGGTGGTAGTGCATCCTCAACACCAGGAGAGTGTTTGGCTCATAGTGGGTGCTCATTTAAATAGTTACTGAATTCCTCAGTGAATGAGCAACAGCCCATCTTCCTCCTCCTTTATTTCCTTCACCTTTTCTTCTACTGGCCAAGATGATCTTTTCAAAGTGCTTGCAGATCCTCAACTAACCAAACTGCACTCAATCAATTTACACATCACCAATGGCTTCACAATCTATACCTCATTTGCTCTTCACAACCTTGGGAGGGGACAGAACAAGGATCTCAGCTTCCTCTTGGTGGGGTGACATAACTTGCCCAAGTCACACAGTGGGCTATGTGTTTGCTGTGACTCCAGCCCAGCTGAGGCTGAAGGACACATCTCTTACCCAGTCCCCACTCTCCCTGGCCCTTTTCCCAGTTAAGGAATATTTCTTTCATGACTGCTCTGCCACTCATACCCCACAGATGCCAATGGAAGAGTTTCCCCCAAAGCCAGAGTGCTGGAGGCCACACCCAAACAAGACCAACTCAGTCCCTTACTGTTATCACAATAAACCAGAGATCTATACACACTGGCACACCCTGTATGATCCACAATGGGAACAACAGGAACGGGAGCCCCAGAAGATGTTGCGGAAAATGAGAGACCACTCTAGGTATGCTTTGCCCTCCCTATTTGTTACACCCTCTACAGCTTGTAGGAAAGGAAGAAGGATGGAGTGGGGCAGGGAGTGGACATGTCAGTTCACAGACCCAGAGAGGTCCCCAGAGCTAAAGGAGGCACAGCGAGGGTGGCTAGCAGTGAGCCCTCATGTGTTTTCCTCTGGTCCCATCACTGAGCTGGGTTGAGGACCAGAGGCAGAGGATGGCTCATGGCATCAGGACAGATGGAATAAGGGGACCACAACTGCCTGTGTAATTTCTAATTTCTCACACAGATACTCCAAAGAGGATTCCTCTACCTATAAATTCTATCTCCCCATAAGCAAGTTGGCTATAAAACCACAGATGGGACCCAAACCCTTGGATCCTATCGAAGACTCCCTAAAGTGGCAAAGAGTAAAGGTCAGGGACCAGGGTGGGAGGAAGAATAGGGAGATTTCCTCCCTGTGGGACCCCTTACCTTGGGCTCACACCATCTTTTCCCTCAGTCCCTGCCTATAAAATGGGAGAGGAGGAAGAAAAATGTGGATTGGATGAGCCCTTCAGTTTGCATCTCTCTATTTATCCCTTGTTTTCCTTCCGCTTTTCTTGCATGGGCAGGAACTCGCAAAACAACTGAGTTCTCCCAGAGAGGATGAGCAGTGCTATGCAGCACAGGTGAGGAGTGGAAAGCGTGAGGCCTGGTCATAGGTAGGAGCTGGCTGAGCTGGAGGGCAAAAAGATGTTTTCAGTGAAGGTAGGGATGGGGGGATATTCCAAAGCTAAACTCAAGCTGCCTCTAGAAGGTAGTGGCTCTTGGGGTAGTACTCACTCTTCCCTTTCCTCTCTCAACTCCTGTTCCTGCAGGCTCTGGGGTGCCTGGGCATCAGCGACAAATATGTCATGGAGGCACTAGGGAAAGTGGTGAGTATGGGGCTGCCTGAAGATCAGGAGAGGAGAAACAGAGTCTGAGTTGTGAAGAGCCTGGGCACACGGGCACAGGCTGGGTTCACTAGGTACAAGGACCATGAAGAGCTAGTGAGGAGACAGCCCCTGTCTCAGGAGCCCTTGTCTCTTTCAAGGGGTGGCTTGATCCAAAAGATGAGGAAGGATAAAACACTGGACTGAAAAGTCATTCTGTTTTTTTATTGAATCCATAAATATATGCCAGTTTATGGTGGGGCATGCATTCTGATCTATAATTTCATTTAAATTTTACAATGCTAGGAACAGGTAGTAGTAGCTGCAATTTCCTCATGAGAAAATGGAAACTATGGGAAGTCAAGTGACTTGCCCAAGGCCATGTGACTACTAGAGAACAGAAAGGGATTTGAACAAAAGCCTAATAATGCACAAGCTACTATACTACTTGGAGCACACACAGGGATTCTCTATGCTTCCGTTTCCTTTTCCATAAAATGAAAAAGTTAAACTGAGTTCATTCTTAAGCTCTGACATTCATGCTATGGCATGCCTCTACCACCTGCCTCTTAAATCAGGCCCAAACCGGTCCAGAGAGAGTGAAGTATGAGGCCTGCCGAACCCTGGCCATCCTGGGTGAGTAGTCATCTCCCTGGGTGAGGTGTCAGGAGAGGGGAGGAAGGGAGTGGTATGCACCCACTGTAGCTGAGCATTTGGGAACTATTCCAAGTACTTTTGGGCAAAGTAGAGAAAGTGGGGTGAAAGGAAGCAGAGGTAGGAGAGGGAAAGGAAGGACTCTGGGACTTGTGGTTATGCTCAGCAAGCTGTTCTGGTGTCCTGGGAGGAAGGCAATACCTGTGGACCTAGTACTTGGAACTCCACTTCTGGGAACAGTGGAGTCAAACAGATCCTGGCAGAGGGAGCAGTCCTGAGGCTCTGTCCTGACCTAAGGATTCTCTCTGTCCAGGCTGCCTGAATAAGCATGTGGTCCAGATTCTCATCCAGCAGCTCAAGGGGAGCAATGAGGAGCAAAGACTGGATACTCTGAAAGGACTACGACAGGGTCTGAACATCCAGTCTACTATCTCCAAAGATAAGGTGACTGGGAAGGTAGTCAGTAATTGGGACAAAGTAGGACAAAGTCATTAACAGTTCTGGCTGGGGGTTAGGTCAGGGACAAGGGAGCCAAACTCCCAGCTTTTATGGGGGACACCATTATCTTTGTACAGTTCCCTATGGAATAACTTTCCTAAACAGAAGCATATGATGTAGCCACTCACTAGACACACAACCTCTGAAAAGTCAACTTTTAGAAGCACAATTTATCCATCTCTAAGACAGATGGATAAATTGCTATGAGTACTTATCTCACAGTATTGTTGAGAAAATTAAATGAGATCATGTATGCAAAGCACCTTGATCAATTCCTGTGGTCTTTACAGGATTAAACATCATTATAATTACCATCCCTAAAATAAAGTTCTGGTAAGAGGGGACAGGCACTACATTTTTTTCTGCTTTAGGATCATCTTACTATGACCCCATCACTGTTCCATGTGAAAGACAATTCACCATTCACCCATGTATTCAACAATTATAAACATCAGTCATGTGCCAGGCACTATCCTAGGTCTTTAGAATATGTCACTAAACCAAGTAGGGAAAGATTTTTGTTCTTGTAGTTTACATCCTACTCATCAAGAAGGAGAAATTTGTAGGTAGAACAAATATGGAAGTAACATAAGAAGTCCAGTTTTGGACAAGTTATGTTTGATGTCTATTGGCACTCCAAAGGAGACAGCAAGTAGATGGTTATACAATTTGGAGTCTAGAAATCTGAACTAGAGATAGAAATTTATGAGTTGTCAGCATATAAATACCATTTAATGTCATTCTGCTGAAGATCACTAAGAGCTAAAAATCAAACCGTGGGACACCCCAGTGTTAACAAGTTAGGAAGAGAAGGCAGAACCAGTAAATACTGAGAGGTAGAAAGTAGGAAGACAACCAAGAGTGTGGTATTCAGAGAACTAGTGAATAAGTATACTCAAGAAAAGAAATCCACTGTATCAAATAATAAAAGGACCAAGAAAAGATGAGCTGACTTAGCAATGTGGGAATAACTGATTGTCTTAACAAGAGCTGTTGTGTTGGGTGGTATAAGTAAAGTCTTACCTGGGTATGTTTAAGAGAAAATGGAAGAAATTAAAGATGGCAAGAATGAACAACTTACAAGTTTTCTTGGATAGGGCTGTAGTTGGCACCAGCTATGTATTCTAGAAAAAAGAAAAATAGCAGCATGTTTCTATGCTAAGGGACAATGATCCACTGATAGAAAAATAATTTTGAAGGCACTGGGAAAAGTTGTGCAGCAATGTCCTTGAGAAGGTGAGAGGGAGTGAGATGTAAGACACAAATGGAAAGACAGGCTTAGCAAGAAGGTCACAGTCCACTGTAACAAGCAGAAAAAAAGAACTTGTGGTGTCAACAGTTGGATAGAAGTGGAGGGAGGTTGTCTCTGGAACTTCTTTTCCAGTTGCTTTTATTTGATCACTGAAGTAGAAAGCACAGTCATTAGCTGACAGTAAGAATAGAAGTTACTGCTGCACTGTTGGTGGGAATGTTAACTAGTACAACCACTGTGGAAAACTGAAGGTTTCCCAAGCTGCTAAAAACAGAGCTTCCATATGATCCAGCAATCCCACTCCTAGGTATCAACCCAAAAGACACAAAAACAATGATTCAAAAAGACACCTACAACCCTATGTTCAACCCTATGCTTTATTTATAATAGGAAAGACATTGAATCATCCCAATGCCCAAAAGTAGATGACTGGATTAAAAAGATGTGATGCATATACACAATGGACTATTACTCGGCAATCAAAAAGATGAATACATGCCTTTTGCAGCAACATGGATGGAGCTGGAAGGGATCATGCTTAGTGAAATAAGCCAGATAGAAAAGTGAAAATACCAGATGGTTTTACTCATAGCAGGAGTATAAAGGACCAGGGGAGAAAATAATAATAATAGTGAACAACTATATCCCATTTTATGGGGGTGGAATAGGGAATGGGATAAAAAATTGGGCAGGGGGAAGTACACTGGACTATGGTGATGGTACATGGGTGATTTGGTGATGGGAAGCCCTCAGGGATTACAACTGAGATAGAAAAATTCACAAAATCATGTCAAAATAAACTATTATATTAAAAAAAAAGAAAAAGAAAAAATGTACAAAATGATGTAAAAATAAACTGTTATAAAATTAAAAAATAAATAAATAAAATAAAAGGAATAGAAGAGCTAGAGCTTCCAGACAGGGAGGGTGTGAACTAGGAGGATGGGAGAACTACCCAGGGAAAAATATCTTCAAGAGTCTACATGAGGTTTGTGTTCACAGACTAAGGAAGATCAGTTAACATGACTGATGTGTTTTTCTCCAGGAAGTTTAGGAGAGCATAATACATTGAAGCAAGAGAAGTGGGAAGTTGGATGAGGCAGGGAAGGAATTACAGCAGGACTCTGGGACTTAAACTGGGTATAAAGAAGAGGATGAGGACAGTAAAAAGGAATAAAAAGGAACTTAGTGGATTGCTAGTCTTTGTGGATGATTGTTAGTCCTTGCGGACTAATGATTGTAGAGTCCAACAATTGTTGGCATCAGGAAGTGAGATAGGTGATGATGAATTGGATCCTTGAAAGGGGGATAGCAGCAAAGATGCAATTATGAGTAATAATAGTGTCTAGCCGAGTGGAGGACAGGTTATTGGAGAAGAGGGATGAATCAATGACCTATCTATTTTTTTCTCAACACTCGCACAAGTGTTTAAGACAGTTAACAGTGACTCATCCATAAGATAAATTCAGAGAAATGAGGGGATATGACGTAGAAGCAGAGTTGAGGGGAACCAGGTGAAATAATCTGATGACCAGAGATTTGAGGGAGGGAGGTATAAAAGCAATCAAAATAATTGCCCTTTGAACTTAGCTAAACACGTAATTCCCTCCACCCATTTCATCTGTCTCCCTCTCAAAAGATTCAAGTTGGCGATGAAGGGAAGTTGGTGGCTGTGCTGCAAATGCTGATCAAGAAGTCACTGAGTGAAGCAGCCGTGGAGGCAGCCCTGTGCCTGGGTTTCCTGAGGCCCTGCAGCAGCATGGCACAAGAGTTCTTACTGCAGTGCCTGTGCCAAAAGCCCAAGACCCAGCAGATGAAGGTGAGAGGGAGAGGAGGCTGGGTTCCCTGCAGAGCACTAGGGCAAGAGACTAGTGCTGGCTTCATGGGGCCTGAACCCTGTCATGCTCATCCCAGAGAAAAGGAGTTTTGTAAGGGAGCACTGCGGACTCCTCTTTGTTTGTGAATATGTATATGTGTGAATATGGGGTTCTACGAACATGTAAGTGTACACCCATCTATGTATATTTTTTGTGTGGTTGTTCATCTATGTGTGTGCACATATGTGCACATGTGAACTTGGGCACCACTCAAGAGGCCAAGGAGAAAATTCCCCACAAGTTCTAGCCTCAGCCCTCACATTGGCCTGGCCATCCAGGTGCCTCTCAGACCTGAATACCCCACCACACCCTGCTGCCCCCACAGGCCCTTAGGATGCTGGTCAAGATGATGCACGTGCACTCTGCCATAGTCATCAGAGCCATCTTAGACCAGCTGTGCGATTCCAGAGTCCTTGAGGTAAGTCCTAGGGCTGCTTTGTTTCCTGCCTTCACAGAATCAGAGCAGGGTAGGGGATCAGGAAGGAAGCCTGCCTGTCATGACTCCCCTGTGCCTGTCCTCAGCACCGCTTTGAAGCCACCCAGATGCTCAGGACCATTGGACTGGAGCAGATCCAGGCAGAGGGGCTGGAAGTCCTCACTTTTGATCTACTCAGGAAGAGGATCTACAACGAACCCTTCCTGGTAAGTGAGATCAAAGCTGTGAAGCCCAGGCAGCCAAATGTGCTTCTTCTCCCTCCTCTCAAGCCCTCCCCTGGCTGGGTTCCCACCAGGCTGGTCCCCAAGGTATCACATTCACCCTAACCCACTCCCTGTTCCCCTTAGTACATATAGCCCATGCTTTCAAATCATGTGCCTTTGCTCAAACAGTTCTCTCAGCATCCCTCCCCAGTCATCCCTCCCTCACTCTACAAGGTGAAAAAAATTGACTTGTGCTCTCTCCTGGTACTGGCAACTCTTTCTTCCGCCTATTCAAGCACTACTGCTCCTCCAAGACCAGTCTAGACACCACCTACTGTGGGTAGCATTCCCAAGTCACCGAGAGTATCAGCTTGGATTTCCTGTGTTCCCTTGCTTTTCTTTGTTACAGCTTACTACAAAGCCAGTCACAGAACTTGGTCTTTTCTGAAGTGTCAATCAGATCGAGTCTGACCTCTGCATAAAACTTGCCAGTAGCCTCCACTGTCCCCAGGATGGCTTACATTGCCATCCCCACCCAAGGACTGCTCACCTTTCTAGCTCCATCTCTCACCACTCTCCCAGGAGCCACACACCTATCACACTTAGGACAACTCCGTCCTGATTCCTATCTGCTGTTCCACACAATGCCCCGCTAGCACCTGCACATCTCTGTTTCCTTCCTCTCTGTGCCCTCTTGTGTCTCCAGGTTTTGTACTTGCTCTCCGCTCAGGCTAGAAAATCAGCCCTCCCCACCCCTCAGTCTAGTTAAATCTGGTTCACCCTTGCAATTTCAGCAGAGGCATTATCTTCCCCCAAAATCTTGCTGGCACCCAGACTGAGTCAGGAGATACCCACCCCTCACCCCCCACAGTGCACCGTACACTTAATTTGGTTTTGACACTTGAGTGTATCTGCTCGCGCACTTAGTGCCCACCAGCCCATGAGCTCTCACAGCAAAGATCATACGCAGTTCAAAGTACACATCAAACACCAGATTGTAAAGCACTTAAGAGTACACCCTGCAGTCCTCTCTGTTGTCTACTTGGTCCCTCTTCAGGCTATGAGGCAGGCTGTGGCGGAAACTTTGGAAGAGCTCAAGATGAAGCCGATGTTGCTCAACTTAGTAGAGGCGTGAGTGGCTTGAACTGGGGGCTGCCACGGCTAAATCCTAGGCTGTGGGAAGGGGGTAGAGATTGAAGCAAGCTGAGCACCTGATGCCAGTTCATAGCTCTCACCTGCCCATGCCCCTGGCTAAGTCATTCCATGGCCCTAGGGCTTTTCTTTCTCTATTAAAAGGGGCTAATACCTACCACTTAGAGTTGCTATAAAGCTTGAGTTAAGATGAGGATATGAAAGGAACTTGTAAAAGGTAGTTTTGAACAGATGTGAGTCTTGCTCAGGTCCTAGAGTACCTCGTGGCAAACTCTAGTACCACCTTCCTCCTCCTAGCCCCTTTCCTGACCAAAGAAACAAGAGGGGTAAATTAATGAAATTAGCATCACTCAACAGCAGTTATGTTCAAACCATCCTGGGCTGTAAGAAGTAACAAGAAGCCTTCCTCCCCTCTCCCTCAATTGGACAACACACTCACTCTCTTCTACACAGGCAACTGATGGACTCAAAGGCCAGCATACGCCTGGAAGCAGTCATTTCATTGGTAAGGCCAGCTCTGCTTCTCTGACCAGATGGGTTGTGGGCAGGGGCAGAAGGCAGCTGGAAGTTACTGGGGGAAGAAAGGGCTGAACTATCTGGGGATGCTGTTTGCTTATTTTCAAATTCTAATCCTATCAAGTTTTCTTCCAAATGGGATAAGGAACAGGAGAGCTGGGTATGGAGAACATGGCTTAAATGTTACAGAAAATGTCTCAAGTTTTCCTGGTGAATAGTGTGTACTGGGGCCCAATGCTCCAGATACCTCAGCAGGGGAGTCGTATCTCCCTCTCCCTTCAGGGACAGGAGGTCATCACAGGATAGAAAAGAGCACATATAGGACATCACCCTAGAGTTGGCTACTTAGGCACTCTCACTCTGCCAGGGTGTCCTGGGGATTCGCAGCTCACAAATGTTCCACTTGCTCCTGGACATGTTAGATGTGGAAAAGAACCAGCTTGTGAAGAAGAGTGTAAGGCATTCCTGCCCAACTCCTCCTCGGGACCCTCTGCCATCTCTCCCACCCATCCTCAATACTTGTTCTTCATCAGGAGGGAGGAGGAACTTTTAGGTGGTGCTCCTAGATTCATTCCTTGGGCCACAGTGGCCTGTGGCCCAAGCCCTCCCTCCCTGGGGAGCCCCTCCCCTCTCAAGCTTAGTCTGAAGTAAGTCAGTGATGGGCCTTTTCTTTCAATGCAGCTACAAGAAACATTAATTCTTTTGACCTCAACTGATCCCTGGGTCCAAAACAAGCTGAAGAACAAGATTTTCTTTGTACATGAGGAACCTAAGAGCAAAAAGAGCACAATGCCTACAAGGTTCCGGAAAGAGCCTGAGAGCCCAGAAGACTTAAATATCCAAGACTTTAAGCTTGCACAGCTGAACCCCTTGTTTATTACAAAGTCTAGCACTGTAGCAGACCAACAGAGAAAACTGGCTGCCCAGAAGGGGTCTGTCTTCTACCTCAACTCTGCCTTACCATCCTGTTTATCTAACTCACTAAAACACAAGTCTCGAGCCACAGGGCCCTGGGGACCAGCAATCAGGAAACAGCTCCAGGCCCTTTCTAAAGCCTCCAAATAGTTCTGTTCTGTGGGTTTAGCCCCCTTTCTCTCCCTGGGGCTCTCTCCTCTCAGGCACCACTGGAAAAACAATCTGTAATTATCTCCTGCAAATAAATACTATTCTACCTAACACTGCTGTGCTTTTCATCAGAGGCTGTACTGAAAGACAGGCCTCCATACTCCCGGCTGAGTATTCCTTCTACTCAGCTACAGACCCTTTTCATGATGGGAAGAGAGGACAGGATTAAAGCTACTCTGCATAGCCAATCCGCCTTCCTAGATCAAACCCAGCATTTGATAACAAAACTAGAGTTGAACTGTCCAGACAGGATTGCTGAGGAGGAAATCCTGGAAAGCTTGGCCCATTTCTTCCTACTAACTTCCCTCCACTCCTGTACTACCCCATATTCCCTCCCGCCCCTGCCTTCTTTGTTATCAGAAGACAGTAACCCACTATCCTCTGTGCTGTCTATTCTACTACACCTGCTGTTTACCTATTACTGGAGTCATATACTTTGACATGCTCTATTACGCTCCAAACTGCTTCAGTTTCTTTCATTTTTACTGAAGATTTTGGTGTCCCTTTGCCAATAGGACCTGCGACAGCAAACAAGCTACATCCCCCATCAAAAAGAAAAAGTCCTGACTTTGGAACCAGACAAGTTTAAATTCTAATCCTGGAGTCCATACTTACTTGATCATTGAGTCTGGGCAAGTTAACTTAGTCTTTCCAACTGTTTCCTCACCTAGAAAATGAAGAGAATAATGCATACTATTTCAGAGTTCCTATGAAGATGAAACAATAAAGTCTAAGATGAACTTCTTTTCGCCTCTCTGGTGTTATCATGTGTACTTGTAATCACCAGATTTAAAAAGTCCTACCATTCCCCCTTACTTCTCTACAACCTTACAGGTATGATTTAATGGGAGTTCAAGTTATTTCCATCAAGCAGAGAAAAGCCAAAAATAATGCTCCCATGCACTTCCCATACTCAGATTGGGGACTGAGGAAGAGAGTCATCAGGTGGAATTATCTCAACTTCCTGCCACCTCGCCTACAAGGATCTTTGCATAAAGTAGTTGAGAGCACAGGCTTAACGCCAGATGCTTGGGTTAGAATCCTGGCTCTACCAGTTAATACAGACATGATTTTTGGCAAGTTGCTTCACCTCTCACTGCCTGTTTCATTGTACCCTTTGTAAAGCCCCTTACCAATGGCAATCAAAATTATTCACATCACTCATCTGTGAGATGTTCCCTGTACCTCCTTGACTCAGAACTGAGAAATGAGTCAACATATATAGCTTATTAACAGTGCCTCACATATGGCTATTTCTTTCTGTTAATATCAGCATCTGTACCTATTCTTACCTCCAATTACAATGAAAGAAGTATTCTCCTCTTGTAAGGCAAGAGGAGAATCAGTATTTTGGAAACTATTCCTTCAAAGAATTTGAACATCAATTATCTTCATTTTCTTCCACGTAATGTACAAACATGCTCTTCTCACCAACCTAACAAATAACCTCTCACAAATCCTTCTCCCTGTTAAGATGCCTCTTCTTCCCTCATCATAACTGTCATCACCCTACTTCATAATCAAGATTCTTAGTTACCCACACTACTTGTCTCCCTCCAGTTCTCCAATTCCTGTAACTCATTGTCACACCTCAATTTGGGATCAGAATTCAATTCTTTAACAAGGATGCTTCGGCTAAAGTTGTGGTTTTCAGCAAGGTTGAATTTGTTCCCCCAAGTGACATTTAGTATTGTCAGGAGACATTTTACACACCAGGGGGTTGCTACTGGCATCTAGTGGCAGAAGCCAGAGATGCTGCTAAATACCCTCAACAGGTTATCCAAACATTAGTACCCAAGCTGAAAAACTTGTCCTTGTCCCTGTATTTGTATAGATAATTTACAACCTCCAATACTGCCAAATATAATGATTATTTTCTGTCCTTTAAGAGTTGGCCTGACTTGAGCCCTAGACATCACTAGCTTTCCCTCCTTAGAGGTTCCACCAACTCATCGCTGGCCCATTCCCAGTTTGTTCAGGATTCTCTTATCTTTAAATCATCAGTATTTATCGGGGTTCTTCCCTAGACCCTTCTTTCTCTACACATCACCTCCCAAAATCATTTATAATCAACTTTTTTTTTTTAAATGCCCAGGTCTCTCTCAGACTTCATTATCACAGTGTAGCCCAGACATCCCTGTGTTCAAGCCACTCTACCTAATTCTAGTCCACAGCTAGAAAGGAAAGCACTAGTCATAATCATATCCATTTCTTATCACTTTAATTACCAGCTCAATGCTAATGGTATCTCAAATCTATAATAGATTCATTCATTTAGTCAACATTGAGACACACTCATTGCCAGACAGGGTTGAAGACACCAAGGGCAGAACAGTGAGCAGTCAAGGGTTCCCAGTCTCCTGGAGCTTATATTTTAATGTAGGAGAAATTAACATCCACAATAAGATCATTTAGTAGTGCCAAGAACATTGAAAACATTATAATGGGAGGAAAAGATGGTAAGTGACATGAGAGTGACAGATAAGAGGCAATATTTCAGACAGGAAGGCCTGGGAAGATCTGGGAGACAGGGAAGCAAGAGGAATATGACCAAAAGCTGTAATGTTCAGTTATGTGTTTACCTAAGGGAAGAGAATCCTATGTGAAACATAGATACTGAAGTGGAAACATAATGGAGTACCATCAATAATTATAAGCAAAATTGGACCCTCCCTTGTGGCGCAAGGGGTTAAGTCATGGCACTATGAAGCTGTCTGCAGCCACTGCAGCAAGTTTGATCCCAGCCAGGGAGGTGACCCACATGGCACAGCAGACCTCCCCTGTCCTGCTCATGTTTCCCCTCAGCAGTGTTTCAGTAGATCTGCCTGTTCTGCTCCCCACTGTCTCGTGAAGACTTTCAACCTCCTCCCTGCACCTCTGGCCTGCACCCCAGCTTTTGTATGCATAAATCTTTTTTAAAAAACAAAAAATAATTATGACCAACGTGAATGAAGCAAGTATAGACAAAAGTTACACAATGGGTTTAGAGGTAAACAGAGTCCAGATCCTATAGGGCTTTGTAAGCCAGGGTAAGGAATGTATATTCTACATGCAGTCACTAAATGGGTTTTCAAAAAGAATGGCATACAGGCCCATTTATATCTTACAGTATCATATGGCTGCTATGTCAAGGTTTTAGAGGAACAAGATTATATAAGCAGATCTATTAACAGGATATTGCAATTGCCCAAGAGTTCATACCAAATCTGTAACCAAGAATATAAAGATGGTTTCAGAATCCATTTTGGGGGTTAGAATAAAAAGGATTAAGAAAAATTAAGTGTTAAGTCCTAAATTTTTAATTTGAATGTTGAAGAAAGACATTTAAGATTTATTTATGCATACAGAAATGGGGTACAGGCCAGGTCTGTTGGGGGTGAGAGGATTTACCAGAATGGGGAGCATAACAGGAGGATCATTGAAATAAGCTGCTGAGGGGACCAGTGGGTGAGTCAGGAGAGCTCTGGAGTACAGGCCCGAGTTAGGGGTGGGGTTGAGAGGACTCATCAGAGACAGAGGGGGGAACAGAACAGGCAAACAGACTGAAATACAATGGCTGAGGGGAGCAGCAGGTGGGTCAGGTTTGCCAGGTCATATGGGTCACCTCCCTGGATGGGGATAGAACTCGTGCTGCAGTGGCTGCTATAATTTCATAGTGCTGTGCTTTAACCCATTGCACCACTAGGGAGGGTCCTGATGAAGATTATTTACTGAGGTGAAGACTAGGTAGGGACAAACTGATTAGGATGGGGAGACTGAAAAGTTCTGTTCACGTAGTACATCCACGTGGATGTGCTGACTAGGTCAGGCAGACAGCTAGATATAATCCAGGTCAGGGGAGAGTGTGCAGGGCTAGAGACATAAATTTGGTAGTCATCACTAAATTTAAAGCCACAGCGTGAGAGAATGGTGATGGGAAATGTAAACCGGTACAATCATTTTGAAAAGTGATCTAGATTTACTTTCAAAATTCCCTCTGACACAGCATCCTCATTCTCTATCCAAATACTATCACCACAAAACTTTATGTACCACAAAAAGTTTATTGCAGCATTATTTACAAAAGCTAGGACAAAAAACAACCAGAGTTCCCTCTACCTACTAGGAGACTGTACATCCACATAATGGAATACTAACTCAGCCATAAAGAAAGATGAAATGGAAACAAAATGGAAGGAATTAAGAGGAATATGTATAAAAAAGCAAGTCAGAACGATAAAGACAAATAGTGGACACTGATGCAGCAGACAATTCGACAAAGCATATAAAATACTAGCGAACACTAATAGTTTCTGAAGCAGGAGGGAGAGGGGAGGGAAAAAGTGGTGTAAGGGTGATGGTAGAAAATAAAAGCCATAACCTGAGTTTGCCCAAGTTGTGCAGAAACAGAAGGGGAATCAGGGAAAAAACCTGAGAAACTTCCAACATGTAAAGATCAAGTAGAGATGGCAATAGAGAAGGAAGAAAATTAAGCAAGCACAGTGCTGAATGCCACTGTTCAGAAGGGCAGATCTGCACCTCCAGCTGCCTGCTTGGAAGTCTCCCAAGTGCTCCAACGAAACACACCCCAAAACTGAATTCAACCCCCACATATTTTTCCTGTGTTTCTTCTTTCCCTAGTGTTTGCTATTTCAGTGAACAGAGCCCTTCTACCCAAATGCCTAGGGAAAAAACTTGAGTCTTTCCTCTATACTACTTCTGATATCCAGTCAGATTTCCTTCCTCCTTTCTAAGCTACATTTCGTTGTTGCCTCCTCTCTCTGTCACTCTTTGAGCTCATGCCAATACCACCTCTCGCTTGGCTTACCATTCTGTCTCAGTTCAGCCTCTCCACACAGCAGTCACAAAGTCATCTTTCCATTGATGCCATGGTCAGATTGCTCCCGTTTTTCTTTTTATAACTCCCTACTTGAAGGCAGGAAAAAAATGAAATACAAGGACCTATACAGAGTTTTTTTCACCTCTTCAGCCTAATCTTTTGCATGCCCTTCCTTGAACTCCTCTATCCTGTGACAATGTGCTACATAAAATTCTCAAGTGCAGAGCCTAATCTTCACTCTTTGCCTTCATTTCTGATTTACTTGTTCATGTCTTTAATTTTCCTATGGAAATACCATTTCCTGATCCCAGTCTCTACATGGCCAATTACTTGTCTACTTTCAAGCCTTCCCATACCCAAATGGTTAGAGACCTTTGAATCAGTCCTCAAAGCACCTGGTATTTATTCTTATTGGAGCACTTATGAGACTACATATTGTCTACCTGCCTGATGGGCAACATACATCTGGTGGTGTCTTGCCCTTAATAAAGGCAGGGAAAATAGTCCTTGACTGAATACCAAGTAACATGCATGTACACTGGTTTCATAATGTTGACTGGTTGAACAGTTCTTCCTTCTCCCTAATCCTTTGATTCCTATATTCCACCATCTAGAATGATCCTGAACTGTACACTGAAGCCAAAATGACTTTGTCAAAAATCACCTGGCTAGCTTATATCAAAATTCCCAGCCTTATTTCCCCACATGCCAAATTCTGATCCAGTAGACCTAGGGTGAGGTATAGGAAGTTGTATTTTGACAACCTCCTGAGGTGATTTTGACACGTAGTCTTTTTTGAAAACTGCTAAACAGAAGAGTTCAATTTATATTATTAAAAGTAACGTTTTAATTAATGAAACAGACTTCATTTCTTAAATTCTTCAAGGTTAGAGTCTGCTGTAGATGAGTCCTGAGTGTGATATACAATGCACTAATGTACAGAAGTCCACAAAACAAGCAGCCTTTATTGCAGTATTACAAAACACTTTCCATTTTGGCAATATTTTACAACGCACTTAGCTTCAAGGGTTGGGAAGAAGGTTGGAAACTAAAGGGGAAATTTCAGTGGACATTTCTAAAAGAAAAACTGTCCCGGCCCTCCCACCCAAATAAAAATCCAAATGTCACTTAATTTCACTACCCAAGAAGAGGCCACGAGGAAAGCAGCAGGCAAAACTCTGGCAATTTCACTATGGATCATGTCAGAGACAAAGGAACATTCAAAACAGTCATCAGTATGGTCGGTTGCGCTGATCATTTCTGTAGTCGTTTCTAGGAATAAAAAATAAAGAGCCAGACTAAATTCTAGTTTTCCACCAAGATGGAGCATAAGACTACTACTTCAAAGTGCTGGTGACTACATCAGCTCTATAATTTCTATACGAATGACACCACTTCTCTTAGAATGTATTTAATAAATGTCTATTTTATCAATTTTAAGACACACAAAGTTCACAAAAACTTTGCTATCATTAACTCTCAAAAATTTCCCATCCAGAGTTAAGAACTCTAAACCACTGTGGTATGTCAGGAGGTGATTGTGCTAAATGCAGCCCTCTATGAAGAGGACAGGCACAGTGGAATAAGCACCAAACACTTTCATACAAGAATTCTGTATATGCCATTTATTATGTGACCTTGGAAAAATTAATCAACATTTCCTAGTTTGTGAAATGGGAAGTACATCTACCTCATAGGGTTGACAAGACAACAACTAAAGTATGTAAAGATACCTTCATAGGATTTGCTATGCAGAATTGTTCAGTAGATGATAAATTCTAAGAGTTAACAATTTCAGAGTACTTACTATGGGCCAGCAACAGTTATAATCTAATTCAGCTCTACAAAGGAGGTATTGTTTTTCAGATGGGCATTCTGACGTTCTAAAGGGCTAAGGAACTTACCTAATGTCACACAGCTTGTTAGTAGTGAAGCTAGAATTTGAAACCAGTGTGTCTTCAAACTCTGTACTCTATATTAATTTTTGCTACCCTATATTACTCTGACATCTACTATAGTAACTGAAGTTACACTACATCATTGCTTAGTCAATTTTTTCCACCTCTATAATATTCGCAATACAACACATTCCCTTGAGTACTGTCAGTGATTTTCATCTGGAAAAGGTATTACCAAATCTCCAGAGAAAAAACCAGAGGGTAGCACATGTGATTTCAAAAAGAAAATCCTTATGAAACATGTGCCCCCCCCACTTAGATTAAGAACCCCTTATTTACATACAGCTTCAAATTCTCAATCTCGATTATCTTCAGAAATGAGGCAGAATAAACAAACGCACACTTGTACAAACCAATTCAGGAATGACAATTTCCATAACAAAATAAATTTCACAAGCTGCTAAGCAGGAAACTAAATGAATCGCCATCCTGTGACTGCTACCAGTGGGAAAATTCAAGTTCAAAAAAAACCTGAACACTAATTAGAAAATATGACAAAAAAACAGACCCTAAAAACCTAGGAGCAGTAACATGTTAGTAAGTACATTCTAATACTCACCTTCCTCCCATTTTGCCTCCATAGCCTCCTCGGTCTCCTCCATATCCCCCACCTCGGTCTCCTCCATAGCCACCACCACTCCTATCTCCCCCGTAGCCTCCACTTCGATCTCCACCGTAGCCGCTGCCACCACCACGGTCTCCTCCATAGCCCCCCCCACTTCTGTCTCCTCCGTAGCCACCACGGTCTCCTCCGTAGCCGCCGCGGTCTCCTCCGTAGCCGCCGCGGTCTCCACCGTAGCCGCCGCGGTCTCCACCGTAGCCGCCGCGGTCTCCACCGTAGCCGCCGCGGT